ACAGAGAGAGTTGGTTACTAAACCATTTTACTGATTGTACTAAAACAATATCCCTTTTCTATCCATTATTTTAAATCTTCATTGACAAGTCACTATACTTCACATAGATCCATAAATTTTAAATATAGTTTTTACTCAAATTGCTTATGTGGACTGAAAGCCCACAAAAAGCATTTGCCTGAAGTCTTGCTTGCCCTACTGGTGGGGGACCTTGTTTCCAAGATACTGTCATATACAGCTTTGCTGTTCACACTCCTCAGACATTTGTTCCTCCCTTAATGCTACTTCTAACTTGCAGCTACTCTCAATTGTGCATAACAATTAATGTCACCAAAATGGTAAAATAGTTGCATATCTCATTTATATTATACTGTATTCTATGGGTCACAAAATGCTCAGAATTTTTAAATCACAAATAATTTTAAAGGTGCTTTAATGAACACCTTTTTAACATTAGTACCAGCACAACCATTTCATGGTTGTAAACTGGTTCAGAAAAAAAAAAATCTAAGCAGCAATTCTATTATTTCGTGGTTTCCTTGAAGATACTGAGACATGAAAAACCTAAAACAGTCACACTTTTCTCTACCTGAGTTTTTAATCAATAAAAGACAAAGCAGAAGACAGAGATAAATACATTATCTTTATTACTGGTAACTACTAAATTAAAGGTTACTAATTCTAATCTTGGAATTAGGACGAATTATTGATCTAGTCTCACAGAGACTGTCTCAGGCAATCTTCCACCATGGCAGAATGCCTTGTGAAACATCCCAGGAAGCGTCTGTTTAAAGCAGGAAAGTGCACGGCTGAGATGCGGGTGCTCAGCCCTCTGACAAACTCAGCTTGCCTGTCAGGAATTTCCCATGCTTTCCCTTGAAGGAGGCCAGCGAAGGTAGATAGGACCAGGAGTATTACTAGTTGATGTGTCTCTGAGCAGTTTCAGAACTTACATTCATAGAAGATGAAGAAAGTACACACAGCTTTCTTTTACCGCAGCAAAAAGCTAAAGTAATTCAACAATTTTTGAGGTTCCCTTTTGTGTCATAACTCTGATCTATAAGAGAGTAATATCTTCACCAACTACATCAATGGAGTTGTAAAATCAGTTAATAAATGCTAAATAATTTTCTAAAATAATGTAAGTAGAATTGAAATCAGATAACAGAAGCTATCAGTCAGAAAGATTTGAGAAAAAAGAAAGGAGAAATATTACTTACTTCAATTCTTATATTACAAATGAAGATGTGGCCATAAAATAAGCAGTTAAGTGCCAGGTGCAGTGGCTCATGCCTGTAATCCTAGCACTCTGGGAGGCCAAGGCAGGAGGATCGCTGTAGCTCAGGAGTTCAAGACCAGCCTGAGCAAGAGCGAGACCCCCGTCTCTACTAAAAATAGAAAACTTAGCAGGGCGTGGTGGTGTGTGCCTCTAGTCCCAGCTGCTAAGGAGGCTAAAACAGGAGAATTGCTTTACCCAGGAGTTTGAGGTTGCTGTGAGCTAGGCTGATGCCCTGGCACTCTGAACAGAGTGAGATTCCGACTCAAAAAAAAGGGGGGCAGTTAAATGGATCAAACAAGACCAAAAAGGGGAAAGGAGAGGAAGGAAAGAAGAAAGAAAGAAAAGAAGAGCTTAAATTGTAGAGACTAGATCCCATTTAAAAAGTCCACCACCTCCACCCCATTCACTGATTTGGCTACCATAACTCTACAAATTTAACATCAAAGCTACTGCTTGCATTCCATAGAACTCCATGAATAAGTAATCAATAAACTATAGGAGATATTGCAACAGAAAATTTGGAAACATAACTGTGGCTGGTACCATACAATTACATCTCCCAAATATCTCTAAAATATAGGTATAAAATTTGTCTACTGTGATCAAATCTACAAAGAGCCAAGAAAGAAATTAGTCAAAATTATGCCTTTCTCTGCACCTATATGCACCTTCTATCAACAGCATGCTAGTGAAAAGAATCATCAACATTGCCATTGTGGTTCAACAAAGAATAATTACCTAGAAAATACATTAAATGGTTTTGTTCTCCTGAAAATGCTTTTCTTTTCAAGGCAAGCTATTTTTTCATCATGGATTGAGAATTTTAGTGATTGTCTTTGAAAGCTTTACAATCCTAATAGTACCACTGGAATAAATCACTGTGCATCTGGGTATGATCTGTTGCTTCTTTCCTAATAATCCTAAATCTCATATTCAAATGGTCATTACGGGATAGTAAGTCTAAAAGAATATACAGAACAATGCTGTCATCAAATGCAGCACTAGACGATTGAGCATGAATTATTGATAATGAGGCTGTCTTTTATTTTTTACCAGTTCTACTTACATGGAATGAAAAACATAAGACAATTTATCATAGGTAAGAGAAGAAACACAACAAGTGAGAATTCTTACATAGGAAAATTTAAAAATATATCATCAATTAAAAGAATTTGCTAATATTATTACAGTATCATTTTAACGATGAATAAATAGTTTTCTTGGCTAAAATCTCTCAGAGAATTTACATGTAGACAGATTGTGACAATGACCCTTGTATTTTTAAGGAAGTTATATCTGGGAAGAAAGATTAATATAGTTCCACTGTAATGTAGCTTTTTTATGTTCCCCATATGTGGTCGCTTAATTGATATTTAAAAATATCCTGAACTCTATTCATGAGGTAATTATTTTTACGATGAAATATAAATTAGAACATGTTAATGTTGTCAACACAAGATATTGTATGAAAAACTACCTGTGCTTTTTTTACCTCTTCAATCATGTGCATCTAAGTGAGATTTCTTTGAAAGAACAAACACAGAATAAGGAAAACTTGTGTTTTTGCCAAATACAGAAGATCTGGATATCCAATATAATGACAGGTTTTTCTGCAACAAAAACAGAATCAGAAAATTCTCAAGAGATATAGCCAATCTTTTGATTTTGTTATAGTACTGATTGAAACAAATGTTACTAATTTAACATGGTATAGGTAAAATCTATTATTAGACATTTGGAAAATTATGTTTTATTATAAAGGGTATTTAAATACATTGAAAAAATATATAGATGATTTTCTCTGAGCTGCTTGTTAGTCTCAAGCTTAAATCTCAAATCCAACTTCATTACAAAGAATTAGAGTTGATTTATAAAAAGAAAAATGTACTGTCACCCCATTTGGTGACTCCAGTTTACTTATGAAAGATTATTCTAACAAGAAGCCTACATATAACCCTTTGACTTATTTCCCCAAGTTCACAACCTTATAAAAAGATAGGGGAAGAGAAATGGACATATGATATCCCATCCTACCTCTATCTTACTTTCTTATCTTTACAAGATAAAGGAGGGCAGACTGGTTGGGAAATGAGCAAGTCACCTGGGTCCTCTCCTAGTTTAACAGTGAAGGCAGAATCTACTGGTCATAAGGAGACGGGGCCACTGTCTCCATCCCCGCCCTCCGACTCACACCTACTTCTCCCCATCCCCTGCTCTCCTACCTCCACCTTACTGCCTGCACTTCATGAAAACTTTTTGCTAAGAATGACACACAGCTTTTTTGTTTCTTAGTGACCCCAGCTGAGATATAGTAAAATATTCAAAAAATTGTTCTTTTATTTACTCTTTAGCAGAGATAGAAACCACTTTCTTTTCTTTCAAAGAAAAATTTTACAGGCTATGTTAAAAGGCAAGGGAGACTTTGAGACTTGCAACAAGGAGAGAGAATGAATTCAACTACATTGAAACAATTGATGGGGGAGGTTTTCAGTGGAGGTGAGTGAGCCTTTAAAGTACTGAAAGACATTCCAGGTGGAGGGTTGGTCAATACTATTAGGCCATCAGGGTTTGCTAATTGGTGCTTTTGGAAGTTGGACTCCTATCCACAGAAACTGGCAGATAGGAGCATTATCTTTCAAGATGAATACAGTTCAGAGGGATGACTCCTAGATCTTTAAGAAAAATATTCATGAGTTGGAAAAATGGCAAGAATCTCTCAGAAGATTTACATCTCAAAGGTGCAGAAAAAGAATTTAAAATTGTGAGTTTTCCAAAGTATGTATCAAGTGAGATCAGGGACCTCTGTATTCATGGGAGAAAAAAAATAAAAACTTGGCTAATATTTAATTAAGCTAAGAGAGTAAGATTGAAAATTACTACAGCTATCTCGAGCCAGGAAACAAGAACCAAACTGAAAAGAGTTGAAAATGAGAAAGAGAAACTAGATCATAGAACTATTCTTTGAATATTTATCTAGCAGTATCTGAAGACGTTCTTCTCTGGGCTTTGTATTAATGTGAAGCAATAAACTATACTTTGCTTTTGGATTTAGATTTTCTGTGACATTAAAACAAAAGGACCTAAGTGATGGTCATGTTCACAGACACAATCTCATGTGTGGTATGGTGTACTGTTATGTCTCAAAATGCAAGTTTATTGATTCTTAGAAAAGAAAGAGACTAGAAAACACCTATTTCTTATTAATATCTCCCAATTGCAACTGAAATCAACAATGATATGAATAAAACAGGAACAGCTTATGTTAGATCAAAAGATATGAAAAGAAGCCTTTCTTTTTTATAGAGTACTGTAACCTTAAAATATGTATCCCAAATGCAGTGGAAATAGTGTTTGCCATGTTTATGCAAACACTATGCCATGTTTATCACCCTCTGTGGATTCAAGATCATGCTCAGAAGCTTATCAATGGATAAGGAGCCAGCCCATTAATATGCATTATCAAACTAGAAGACCTGCTACCACCAAACAAACAAACAAATATTATTGGTAATTCAGGGAGGGATTTTTACTTTAAAGATTTACTTTATGATAAACATCTTTCATGGATGGACCATTATCAGTATTTGTTAATCCTTGTCCCAAGTTAACTTCTAATTCTGAGTTGGGGTGGACGCTGTTTTTCTATTTACAAGTATAAAGCACTTAATACAGAACCTAACATGCATTTAATGCATAGAAAACATCTAGGATCAGGGGAAAATAAGATTCCACTGATTATAATGCAAAATAAGTATTGGCATTGTCAGGTTTGGCCTCTTGGCAGACTGTTGTCCTGGGTCTTTGGCTCCTTGCTTGGAAAATTCACAAGCAGGATGGGTGTGACAGAGTGACTGCAATCGGGAATTTGGGGTTTGGGGCTGAAGATCTGTCTTCTGTATTTGCTTCAAGCTGAACAGGGATGATGTTCCCCAGGCTCTGTGAGCTCTGAAGGGCTGCACTTGTGGCCTTATCCAGCAGCTCCACGGGTGGTGGTATCATCTTGTTCCCCTATGGCGTAGAATCCCCTAGCTAGAGCATAAGCTTCACGTGGAACTATGGAAGTCCTGAAGACACAAACTTAAGGTTAAAATGCATGGGCCAAATATTCACAGAAGGACGATGGCCACCAAAGTTCCCAGGAATGGTAGCAACCAGGTCATAGAAGAAAAAAGAAATCCCCCATAATGAAAATATGAAAATTATGGGTACTTGAAAATAGGCAAGCACGAAATTATCCCCACATGGCCCAATATATCTAATATGCGGAGGTTTCCAAAAAAGGCTCACCTAAGAACAGTCAGGAAATATATAAACTTTTTTTACTATCTATGGTAGCATAACCCGTGAGGCTTAATTATTTCACCATTTTGAAGAGAACCTTCAATCCCAGTTGGTTTGCACTTGTAGGTGTCTGCTGTCCCAGTGTCCTTGCCTGTGTCTGGGCTCTAAGCGTCCACCACTTTGGCTGTCGAGATGTGTACCAACTCTCGATCCCCTTCATTTTGACTCCTGTGGGGGCAGACCCGATACAGGCCCTTCTGCATGGGCTCTAATCGACTGGGAAGAAAGAAGACCCATCAGTCTTTAAGAAGGGGCCTGAACAGAGGGAATTTCTGACCACTTTCCCTCCCTTATATAAAAATGATCTAGTACTAGCATAGTATTCAGGTTAAGACTCCCATTCTCAGTTCTCAGGCCAGGATTCTCAGTTGGTGTTGGGGCCAGGCTGTGTTGCAAAGAAACTCCAGTGTTGTCTTGCAGAGACTGTTGAGTCCACGGGTCTTTCAGTTTTTTAAGAGACATCCCAGGGGACAATTGGTAGGTACTGAGATTTCCTGTCCCATTATCTCTATGAAAAAAGAACAGAATAGGCCAAGAGTAGATTACCCCGACCAGGAGTCCCCATGTCCAGCAGGTTTGGCTCAGAGCTTGCTTAATTAGGCCGTGACCAGAACCTTTCCTCATTGAAGCGGGCTTGCTTGGTTTTAGGCCATGCGCAAAACCTCTATTCCAACTGCCCATGGAACCAGGCATCCCCAATCCCAGCGTGTCCACTGCCACCCATTCAGTCGATACTGTATCGTGGGGACAGCACATCCCGGCCCACGGCCAAAGCCCTCCACCTGTGACCACGTGGCAGATGGCGGGGTTGGTCCCCCTTCAGGTCTCCCATCCATGTGCTAACCAGGCCAGACCTTGCTTAGCTTCCGAGGTGAGGCGAGGTCCGCCTTCAGGCCGCAGTGGCCGCAGCCCACCTGGGGTGCTCTATGTGTGAAACAACTGGGGACGACACGCGACGCAGTCCCAGGAAACTGAATTTTAGTTGGAAAGGGGAAGACAGGCGAGAGAACACTTACATTGCTAGAGGGATCCCAGCACAGTCAGGAAGTCTTGCAGTCCGGGCACCCTCACCTGCTCCTACTGCTCCCTCAGCTGAGGACAGCCAGGGCGCAGGCGCAGGCGCAGGCGCAGGCGCAGGCGCAGGCGCAGGCGCGGCTGGGGTGAGGGAGGCGCGCAAGACCCGGGCTGGGCCGCGCCAGGGTCGGATTTCCTCAGCGCCGTCTCTGAGTCCTAGCGAGGTAACGAAAAAGACGGCAGCTCTGGGGTTTGCACCGTATTTGTACTGCTTCCTTCAGAGTCAGGAAAGCAAGGAGACAAAAACCACGTGACAAGGCAACCTCCAGAAAACACATATACGCCATCACCTGTCACCTTACCTTCAAATCAGAGAGGCTCCCGGGTTTTGGTACCAAATGTCAGGTTCGGCCTCTCGGGGGACGGTCATTCTGGCTCTGTGGCTCCTTGCTTGGAAACTTCGCAAGCAGGAGGGGCGAAGGAGTGATTGCACACAGGAAGCGATGCCACACAAACAGCTTTTGTTGTAGAAAAGGAGGGAGCTACATATATTGCCCTTATCTGTCATAATGGCCTGAGGAGTTAAAGGAAATAATAAGAAATCTAACACTGAGAGAAAGTTCTCAGCCACAGACCCCTGAAAGTTGAAATATGACATTTTAAATTTTTGTTTCTATTTTGTGTATGTGTGTGCGTGAGAATTTCATCCTATGCTACTTACTCTATCAGGCTATTTTAGGCACTCAATAAATAATGTTAAATAAATAAATAAATAAAAAGAAAAGGAGGGAGCTATCCAAAGCGAGAGTACCAGAGAGAAGAAGGGTCAGTCTGAACAAGTAGAGAAAGACACCAAGGACTCCCAGGTGCTGTCTCCTTATTGGCCTGTCTGGGGAGGGCTTACAGGACGTGTGGGATGTTACCAGATGATTGATATGATTGTTAGGGCCTGCGGTCCCTTCCCCTGATTCTCTGACACTAGAAACCCCCCTCCTTGCCTGTATCTGCCACCTGCAGATTTGGTTTCTGCCTAACAGTATGAACGATGTAACAACCAATGGAACTAATTGGAGAAATTCTTATGTTGTAAAAGAATAACACACAGAGACTTAGGGAAAGTTTTTAGCTTGAGACACAGTGAAAGGTAAATTAGGGAAGTGTAACTCAATAGCGAAAGAAAAGGAATTCTCTGCAAGAAATATAAAAAATAGTGCAATTTCAAACTGCTCTTAAAGAGTGAGGAAAGGAATTTTTTAGTCTTTACTGGATCTATTTGGAGAGCATCTTATTTTTCTTATAATATAAACACTATATCAATTCATTTATATAAGTAGTGCCTGCCATGTGCCATATTCTATACATGAGGGATACAATAACGAACAGAATATACTGAAGTGTCTGTCCTCATGTAATTATATCCTAGTGAAGGTACACGGAGAAGAAATCTTTAAAAATGTAAATCAGGTAATGATAAGTGATATTCAGAAAAATAAGACAATACAAGAAAATAAAGAATGGGAGAGAGTGATACTCTATGTTAGGGGGACAGCAAAGATTCAAAGAAGCTACATTTGAACAGAAATCCAAATGTGATCTATAGGAAGTGGACTGTGTGAATATCCAATCAAGAAATCCAGGCTGAGAGAGTACTGAATGCTGCAAGTGTGAGAGATATTTGCATAACCACAAGAAGGCTGATGTGACCACAGCAGACAGAGCAAGGGAAAGAATGCTAGGAAATCCAGCTGGAGTGGGCCCCAGGGCCCGAGTCATGTGGTGCCTTCTCTTCTGTACTGCTTACCCACTCCTCCTCTAGCCATCTGGGCCCTACCCTGAAGATGAGCTCATGATTATTATTGTTAGATGGGAAGCTGTGCAATGTCTTTGGGTACAAACTCTGCTGAGTGATTGACAGGCAATGTGAAGGCTTCTGTCAATCAGTGGTCCCATCTGACAGCAGGAAAGAAAACAAGATCCTGACCTGTCTTTCTCATAATCCCGAATGCTGGTGACGAATGGTGTTTTTCTGGTGGTTTCTGAGTCTTACCCTGTGCAGAGTTCTTGTTTCCCAACCTGTCCAGCTTTGTGGATTCTTTAACTTATTCTGGGGTTAAGAAAATTCAATATGCAGGTAATCAGTGGTTTTCTAACTCTAGTAGGTGAGACTCTGTTGCCCTGGCATCCTGCTGTTTGTTTCCTTCCCCAAAATCAGTGAAGAACTATGTCTAAATATCTAAGTCGACCAGGGCAGATATAGGGAAACTACTATAATATATGCAGAAAGTTAGGCAGGAAATTTAAGTGCAGAGCACCTATTCTCACTATGAAAGAAATTTTAACATGTATTTACATAAAATTTCTCTAAGATACATGTGAAATGATTGAGGGAAGTTATCCCTAGCTGGTTTTGGAAAGACAGAGATGCACTTTTCATTTTATGTCCATTGTTATGCTTTGTAATTTTTAAAATCATTTCTATGTATTAGTTTGATAACAAAAAATAGTGCAAATGAAAAAGTACTGATTAAGTGCAATACTGAAAATTCAATTAAAAATGAAATCAATCTAAATAGTTAGTGGTAGGGCCAACAAATATATGTTTAAAGCATGTTGTGATATGCTAGTATTATAAATTTAAGAGAGAGATAAGATGTCGGTAATTCTAAACAGTTTAAATATAAATCAGTATCAGAGAGAACAGAAGTTGCTAACATTTTATAGATAATATTTATTAGATAAGTTTGCAATGTACCTCAAGCAAAATTACTCAAGATGGACCACGTAAGTTTTTATAATTATTTCATTAGAAAATATACATTTTCTTCCTTACTTTTCACTTTTCTTTATAAACCTGATATCTCTAAAAGTATTACATATCATGAATTCTGTAATATTTAAATATAACAAATTTAAAGTGTTATTTTTTTTTAAAGCAAGTTAAAGACACAAAATTTCTCAGAGTTCTTAGGAGAAGATTTTATTTTATTTTTTTTGGTAGTAGGAAAACCAACATGAACTGGTTACTTTTTCATTATGCAAAAGTGACCTATAAACTTCTATATTCCTCATAATAAAGCAATGAATTTAGGTATGTATAGATTTTATAATAATGTTAACATATCCTCTTCTGGATACCATCTAGATCACATTAAAGATCAATTTTGTGCTACCTATGTTCTCAAGTATACACTGTGTATGTGCTATCTCACTTCTCTCTGACAATCATCTCAGACTACAGCACAATCAAACATCTAACTGTCCTCCAGCCTGATTCTTTTCCAGCATATGGGGCCACCCTCTGCTCAATAGCTCTCACAAAAAAATACCACCTTGATTTCTTCATTCCTTATACTCCCCCTTCCACACTTGCTTTTAAAAGCAAGATAGTTTTACCTTCAAAAAACAATCTGCTTCTTCACATGTACCTGATAAAGACATACAACTATTATGTACCCATAATAATTAAAAATTTAAAAAAAGCAAGCCTGCTCTTCTATGTTCTCCATCCTCAGTACTCATTCAAGTCATCTTCACCTCTCTAGTCCTAGATGTTCATCCTAAATTAGTTTTCCACCTAACAAGCATAGGAAACTTTCAAAAGTCTCTGTACTTAAAGTTCTTTAAGTCATCTCATGTATTGTTAGATAAAATCCAAATTTCTTGTTGTAGCCTACAAGGTCCTACAGGATCTGCCACTTGCTTCCTTCACTGGTCTCATTGTGCACCATTTTCCTTTCATGGATCAACTCCTGTTACGTCGTCTTCTTTATGAGTCTCAAACATGTTGAGCATGTTTCTCTCTTGTGTTTCTTTCTGGTATCATTTTCTGCCTAGAAAGCTCTTCCTTAGATGTTTGCGCTGCTCATTCTCTCTTTTCATTTAGTCTGAAGCTTCTCAAAATTACTTTACCTTACAATGCAACTGAAACCAGCTCCCTCCAACACACACATCCTGCCACCCACACATAAAGTCATGCTCTTTTTGATAAAAATGTTGAAAATCCATAATGAAAATTAGAAAGTTAATTTTTCACAACCTTAAAGACCTTGAGTCTTTTAACATTGCCATGACATCAGCTTCCTTTCTTTCTTTTTTTTTTTTTTTGCTGCTTTTTTTTTCATCTTAATATCATCCTCACCTTAAGGTTGACAGATTCTCTTTTTTCTTTCAAGAATGACACCACATTCATGAGAAATTATACCTTGCCTTTCTCAAATCATAAAGAAATGACCTGAATAGATACTGAATACACAGCAGGCATCTAATGATAAATTCTGATTCTACATTCATGTCAAATTAGCTATGCTTCTCTTTATCTTGTCATACTCCACCATCATATGAAGCAACAAGAAAGGGAGCACCTTAAGTGATGCTATGATACAGGTGATTCAGGTCATATTATGAATAAACACCATTTAATTTAACCTTCTGGATCTAGTTTAGGAAAGCAGGTCATTTGCAAAGTGCATATTTTCTACAGAAGTTGACATTTGCTTTTGGCATTATATTAATACATTGTTCTCTGAATTTGATAGAAGAGTCATAATTTGCATTTTTGCTGCCCCCCTCAGATGACACTTAGGACCATAAGTGTAAAATTAAATATATTAGAGTTCAAAAGTAATGGTCATTCTAACCAAAATTCTGGTAACATGTTTTTAAGAGGTGTGCTCAGTGATTTAAAAATGATATTGCAAATGGAACATTTTAGAGAATGCATGCCATTTGTAACCTCCCTAGTCTCTACACACAATGATATTGTCAGTCATAATGTTTGCTTTTCTTCTGGATGCAGGGGTGGCTCTGTGAAACAGGGCTGGCCACTGTGGCACGCATCACTTTATTCCTATCAGTGATTCATCTAAACTATGAATGAGAGACTCTTGCAAAGCCATCCTGTTTATAACATAGATGTGTGTATGTGTTATATATATATATATATAAAGAGAGATATATGCATAAACATATATGCATGTACACAGATACATTCTAGAAGAGAGAAGGAAATAGCAAAATTAGCAAACAATAGGAATTGTGTGTCTCTGGAAGTGTTGGTGCCATTTTGGCACCAGGTGGAGTAAGTCTACTGAAGAATAAAGTTGGCACAGAAGCAAGCAGTGCCAGGAAACAGAAAGAGCAGTGAGAACAGATAGCAGTTTTGAAATCCTGGATCCACTGTGTGTGTGGAAGGTAAAACTACTCTCTTGTCTGTCCCAGTCAAGAG